CAACATCATCAAAACTATTCATAATTTTAGATCGTCATGTGATTTGTGCTGAATTTCGATTCAATCCCAGTTTTGAGTCCTGTAATCGTAACTCAAGTTTATTAGTTACTACATATAGAAGTAAGTATTAGTTGTAATGTAAGGTAATCATATGGTGGCATTAATATTTTTAGGCTCGTACTAGCATTTTTCTTGTACTGGTATATTACCATCACAGTACTACCATATTTTTGTCGGCATCACTGGGCACAGTTGGGAAGAGGTACACAGATACAGGAGGCTCCTCACCATCCCAATATCTATTCAACCCTATATACATAATGTTTATATTTTTAAAAATTTAGAATAATATTTTTGTATTTACTTCTTCCAGTAGATCGTTGAATGTTACAACTGCTACCAGTACTAGGATCTGAATGAGGACCATGTTGGGGTCTTTTGCTGGAACCACTTATACTTGATGATGGTGGCTGATATATGGTAGTCGGCAGGGCTGTCTGGTCCCAGTGGTGGCGGTTCTTGGGCTGGTTTTCTGTGTAGTAGTGAGGGCTATTCCCTTGCCACTATCACTTATTACCTGCCTGACAGCATCATTGACCGTGTTTCTTAGGCTGTTGGCAGATTTTTCAGAATATACAATATAATATTTGATAATAATGTAAAATTATTACTTCAAGTCAATTATACCGTTTCTCTCCTTGCTAGGTGTACTTGTAGGTTAACTTTCTCACCTTTGCTAATTTTAATGTTTTTATAATGCGTTTTGCTAGTGATTTAGCCATGATAAGAACAGTGCCAGTGCGGGAGCCATTTTGTTATTTTCAAATTTCATTCAATCTGGCCGCCATATTGTGCCCAGGGCACCTCCTTTTATACTGTGATCGACGGAAGCGATTTCATGACGTTGCGTGAATGGTTTTATAGTGCACCTTCTTGTTTAAGCTAGGTTTACACTCGACACAAAACGCAATGCAAATGAACGCAAAATTGAAATTTGACCAATTTTGCGTCAACTTCAAAGCGTTTTTGCGTCAAAAGGTCAAACCGCCCACGCACTTTTCACCGTTTCGTCGAATGTAAACCTAGCTTAGCTTAAGTGAGGGAGCGGTACCTTTGCGTCTCCAATTGAACCAGTGGCTGTTGGTTTCATGTCATTAAATTGTCTATCCTAAAAATAAAATGACATTTCTCAGTTTGTAACAACACGATAACATGTCTTATGCATTTACATGTACAAATTTATGCTGCTGTCTGATACTACTAATGATTAAATGCTGAATGGTGGCTCTGCCTTGTGCGATTTTAATGAATTTACTCATTACATCAGGAATTTAAATAAATTTTCATCAATATTAATTTTAATAAATTCCTTATTTATACTTGAAATGGAAAATAACTTCTTACAGACTACAGTTTGATGTAGATCTATACTTGTTGTGAAATTCTTTCTTATTAAGAAACTCAACAATACTGCTAGCAAGCAATTGCAAAAATCAAAACAAAATACAAGTGAATAATCAACTCATTACATGCATCTATACAGGAAATACCACAGCAAAATAATCTAGTTACCTAGCAACACAACTAGCCACACAATAAGAATAATAATGATGATAATAGTGAGTTATTCCTATAAAAATTTATTTCAGTTTTTCTTGGTTCAAACTCAGTTGCGTGGGTCATAGTATATGTAATACTCACACTACAAAAATGCAAAAATAGAAATAGTAAAAAATAATATCTAGTGTATCTGTGTTCATTCACCAATTTTTAATAGCTGAGATCCAGTAAAAATCAAAAGGTAAAACTGAGCTCTTTTTTGCAGTATGTATTTATCCTAATTTACTTACTTAGCTTGATTGTGTACATGTCTCTACTTTATAAATGTAGATGCATGTAGATAAATATATTATATTAAACAAGACGTAATATGTCATGTACAGTATGTGCAGTTTCTGCATAGAATAGGTTATGTGTATGGTTTGAAATTAAGCCAATTCTGTCAACTTCTGTTAATACTACTGTTAGGCAATTCAAACTAAATTACTTGTTTTACGGATTTTTTTTCTCTAAAATAGAGCAGGCCGGTCGGAATAAATTAAAATATAAACAATGAAATTAATTAACTACTCATTAATTAACTTTAATAATTGTTAGTTAACCACAACTTTTTAAAACAAACTATCAAAATACTCTAGCAACTTCTGTGAGTGTAGGCTTATTTAACATGAATGCCTGCTCTAACAAGTCCCAAAAAGTAGATGCCACAGAGGTTTGACATACAGTGGAAGGTAAGATAGAGGAGCTTGCTCTGTTAACAGTAACAAATACATTTAGTGCCATTTTGAATCTAGCCACACCCACCACGTGGTACTGCGCATGCGCATTAGAAAATTTAAATTTATTTTGATTTTCCAAAAATTGGAGTCGGTCGGATCCGTAAACCAAGTAATTTTATTGGAACTGCCTTATGAAGAATCAAAGGCTATAAGTCACCCACACCAATTTTGTCTTTTACATTGACTGGGACCTTTTGATGCCAATCATCAAATATAATTGACCATTCATGAAGAATGGATGGATACCATCCATGAACCATGGATGGTTTATGGATGAGTTCAATGAACACCATTCACAAGTGTTCTTCATGAACCATGATGTTCCATGATGAGCACTCTTGAGCAGAACCATTTGTCAATGAAATGATTTTTGATCATACCAATATGCTGTTAAATGACCAACTTAATTAACACTACACGATGCAACTATTACTGGCTTATCACTATTGTGTAGCTACAAGTAATCAAATTCATTCCATTTACACGACCAATATAGTAAAATTCTTTGCATTGTTGTAAGAAAGCATAGTCATAGTGTCAATTGACACTACCAGTTATTTCAAATGCAGTGTTAGTTATTACCAGCTATCTTGTTTGTCATTATTGTGAGTTATACACGTAGCTGAATTATAATAGTGCATACGTGTGCATCAGCTGTGCTGCAAAGAGCGCATGCTTTTATAGATAATTATGATTAATCACCGACTACTTTGATTAAGTTCTATGATATTTGAAGCCAGCTCTGTGCCACAAGTTACTACTAGATAGATCTATATAGTGGCATATGTCCTTATATATGCCATGTATAATAAATCAGTCACACCATATACTCCCACTGTTAATTTTTGCTCTGTGATTTACCATACAGCTACAAGATGATTGATGTCTCCCAATGCAGAGCAAGTATTGGACTGTGGAGCTATTGTCAAGCTGCCTCCAGTAGACCAGCTAATGGCCGCCACTCTCACTTATTCAAAGCTGCAGTAGACAGCAAGTCAGGAAGTACGACAGCTGTCAAAGTCAATGATTCTTATCTAAACAGGCTGCCTTGATTAGTGAATAAAGCTGAGAATATAAATGTCTCTTGTTGTTGTATATGCATGTGAATTATCATTGAGGGATTAAGAAATAATGTATTGCACTTGACTCACCTTGCATAAACTTCAAATTAAATTATAAATTTGATTTGCATGATTTAAAGACAAAGTGATCAGTATTTTAATATAACATATTATAGAACTGTCATCCACACAACTACCCATGGATGTCTTTTTTGGTGTTGCAGTCAATAATTATTATGATGTAGACAAGGTAATTTATTATACTTCTGGCAAATTATTATTTTATACTACATATGGTATGTAACACTATGATATTATACTCAATGTGAATGAACATCATGGTGTTCATGCAGCTATTTCTAGAAGATGATCCCTATATTGCATGGTGATGATAGCTACCCAATGACATTCTGCTGGACTATATGAATGAATGAGTGATTTAAGTTCTCAGCAAAATTATTAACATGAATTAAAAATAATATAGTATCTAAAAGTCTAGTCTGTAATACATAAATGCACGTTTGTTTGCTGGGAAAGCTTTTCCCATGCTTGTAAAAAAGAGTTTTGTAATGAGCACATTCCTCCATTTGGTGTTAAAATATCATATCGTCTTTGTTGTTGAGCAAAATCAACTATCCTTTGTAAATTTTCAGTATGTTTTGTAGCAGAATGTGATAAGTTCTTAAACAAATTCCAGAAATAGATTGCATCATTAGCAAAAGCAACTGTACTTTTGATTATAGCAATTTTATCATGCAATTTTTTAATTTCTGAGGAATACATCCTTATAGATGATTCACAGCTGCGTATTTGATCCTCAAGAGATTCTAAAGATCTCCTTGAAGAGTGTACTTTACGTTCAGCTTCATCAACATTATCACAACACGCACTGGCATATGCTTCAGCTTCCTCCTCTCTTAATATTGAATATTTTCGAGCAGCCAGTGCACCACCTCCTGTACCAGCAGTTGCGCCAACAATTGAGCCAATGGCTGCACCAATAGGTATACCAATTGGTCCACCTATAAGACCAAATAGAGCCCCTATACTAGCACCGGCTCCTGCACCATTTATGGCTCCTGCAACTGTTCCACGAGCAGTACCAGCTGCCACTCTGAGTCCAAATTTCTCTTGCTCATTTTTTAATTTTTGTCTTGCTTCTTCTAAGTCGTAATCAGCAGACCTTTTCTTTGACAATGCAGCTCTCAAATTTTCTTCTTCTCGCCTTTGAGAAGATGCAATCTGTAGCCTTTTGTTCTCCAATGACATTTGCTTTTGTTCTTGCTCTTTTTTCCTTAATGAAAACCATTTCAGTTCTTCAATGTACTTCAATTCCTGTTGTTCAAAGGATAAAATTTGCTGATTAGCTAGTTGTGACAGGTATTGACCATTATCTTGTAGTGACTTCAGGAGACTGCTTGCTTGATGGACGTTATCACACGGTGCTGTCCCGCTTAAGATCCTGTGTGCTTCTATAGCGGCATCAATACAAGTTCTGGCTCTACTCACAGTTTGGGTTTGATATTTATCCATTCTTCAAGTTCAGAGCACCAACGTAGTCTAACGAATGCAGAGCCTTTCGCATCTAGATATCCCAAACAGTCCAGTTCAGCTAGATCTGGCGTAGATAATAGAGACAATGTAGTCTATCTATGGTTTCTAGCATATGCTAGCGCTGAGATATTATTCATATCTTTCCTGTGAATGACGTTGCCGATTTATAATGACATTCATTGGGATACCGTAAATGGAAAATTTTTCGGGCCGCCATTGTGGAGGTATACTACCATTAGCTACAATGGACCGACAGGCTAAAAACTGTCGATTCTACTTCTCCACGTCACTCCAGTGGCTCTAAACAGTTGCAGACTACTGAAAAGAAAGATAAAGGTTGCAATTTTTTACTTTTGAGGCTATAACTGCTTGTTCTTCTAACAAAACGGCAGAAAATGTATTGAGCTCCATTGGAAACGTGCAGCAATACCTCCACAATGGCGGCCTGAAAATTTTTCTATTTACGGTATCCCAATGAATATCATTATAAATCAGAAACGTCATTCACAGGAAAGATATGAATAGCTACGTAATATCTGATCATAGATAGATCTAGATATGATCTGATCATAGATCTAGGTATGACCTGGTCATAGATCTGATCATGATTTGACCCCACCTCGAACGAGCCGCCTATATCTATATAGCTAGCTAGATTTTATCGGTTATCATAAAAAACAGCCGGACGGTACTGTAGTCACTGCAGTTCAGACGTTAACAGTAGACCGGTTTGATAGTTTGCGCTAAGATTAGTGAATCAGCAGAGGAAAAATGGAATTAGCCCTTACAGGAGGTCAAAGCATCTCTCTTTTAGAACCACCGTCCGAAGCTCTGGTTCTTGAGGAAAAGAAAAAAGTCATCGGCACCGCGCTAGATATGAAAAAATTCGTTGATTACATTAGCAGTGTCGGTAAGTTTGTACAACTAGCCTACAATGGAGCTGTTGGAGCGGGACCGGAATATGCCGATCTCCAGTTGAAGATATACGACATTGGGCGTAATGTTACCAAAATATTTGACAAATCTGCTCTCACGATTAACATGTTTCAGAATACAGCTGATGATGTTAGCCTAATACTGCAGTCTACTTACCAGTTCTTGCTAGATGGGTTTGAAGATTTAGCTGTAGTGAACCTTCAAAGTTTGGAAGACACTGCACGAGGTATGTCTGCAGCCGCTAAAGAACTAAAAGCCAAAATTGATCAACAGGAACAAGAAACAACAGCTGTTATGGAGGAAACTGTGAAGACAAAAGAAAAAATTATTATCCAAGAGGAGGGGAAAATTGAAAAGGAAAAAGAAAAGCAAGAAACTTTGATTAAAGAATTAAGTGAAGAAGTTGCAAAAGCATCAGAAATAAAAATGAAATATGAGAAGAAGCGCGATGAAGAAATTTCTAAATCCCACTATGGAACAAATCACATTTTGGTTGCCCTTGTGACAAAAGTATTATTTCCATGGGCTGGCGATGTTAAAGATATGTTTGATAGCCAACACATGGAATCAAGGGAAAGAGTTGCTGAATACAAGGAAATTGTACTAGAAAAGCTTAAGCAAGAAGAAAAAGCAAGAGAGCATCACAAAGAAGCTATGGAAATGATGAAAGACTATTCTCGTCAATTGGAAGCTTTGAAGGATTGCAGCGAAGAAGAATTAGCAGAAAAGTCCATAATGGCTCTACACCATGCCAGTGGAGCACTCAAAATGATTTCTTGTATTTTGATGCAAGCTTCACAGTTTTGGGAGAGCATTGAAAAGCATTGTGCAAGCATGCATGGGCAAGGAATAAGCAACTTGAGTCAACAAGTCGGAAAGATGCTGGGTATAGTTAAGACATATAGCGACGAAAAAAAAAAAAAGGTCTGGCAAGGTCCTGGATTTGGTATGCAAGCTGTAAGGTATCATGCCCGTTGGATAGCTCTCAAAAATATTTGCCAAGAGCACACACCAATGATAAAGGATACTCGTGATGAACTTTATAAATTTATTTGTGAAAACCCAACACGTGCTGAAGCACGCAAAAGAGTTCCAATACTGGCCGCGAGGTTAAAAGATAAATTGGCAATTACAATTGAGGAAATTAAAGAAGATGAGGCTCATTTGAAAGAAATGAAGCAAGAAATATCAAAGTGCTAAAATAAATACTCTGTGTGTGTGTACCTATATAACTGAACTCTTAGTATATATTCTGTAGTTTTATTAGATGGGAATTTAGTTTTGTTTGCTGAGAAATAAGCTAGTTTTGTCATTATTTTAAAAAAAGACAAGATAGAAAGGTAGAGAGAGTGAGTGCAGAGTGGGAGTATGCATCTCCTTTGAGATGAACAGTATACATAATTATAATACACATAATCAGTTATTATAGCATCATTCCATTGGAATGTGTAATAGACACTGTACATACGTATAAAATGTACAGTACACCAATATAATTTACATGCTGCAGAGTGACTTCTTAAAAAGACAGTTCTAGTAAACGCATTCTTGAAATACTAATCTTTCTCTCAATTAATCGTATATGCTTTGATGCCTTTGCTCAAAGTTATGCAACACTTTTGGCAAACAATTAAGAATCCATAGTCTAGACATCAAGTTTAACATGCATATTGAAGATTTACTGTGTGGGGTGGTCTAACAGTCTGTGTTATAATTGCAAGTTTTGACTATAAATTTTTACATGTAATTGATGCATGTCATTTTTGTTTCTCAAAATCAACAAAACAATTGATGTAATTATTACTTCAACTCTGGTCAAATTAAAACATGACTAATACACACAAGTAGCACCAATAACTACACAGTCTCATCTCAAAAATAAACATGCAAAGCAAGTAAAAAAGTCTTTAGCGATTTTTTGATTTAATTTTAGACAGCAACATCTCATTCTTCCGACACTCCTAAAAGGAAAAGTAATTATAGAATGCAACTTTACAAAATTACTCCCTATCTCTCCTCCTCTTACTTCTTGAAAGTCTTTAACAGTTTTGTAATACTTCCTCTGCTTGTCAATGAGATCAAGATGGATGGTTGTAAGTCGATCTTTCTCTTTCCTCTCCTCGACACATCTCTGACCCAACTGCTCCTTGTCTTGCTTGATACCGTCCAATATCTGCTGGACTTGCTGTAAGAACAACTCCTTATTCTTATCAGAACTCATTGCTCTAGAAGAAAGAGAAGAGAAAGGAAAATGACAATAAATAAGGAAGAAATAGAAAAAATAAAAATAAAAATGATAAAAAAGAGAGAATGAGAAACAGATATGATAGCATAAACAAGAAAATGATAAATTAACAGTTACAATAATTATCAGAATAATCTTACAAATCAAATTTCTCATGAATTGAAGTCAATATTCCAACCTAATAAGATATAAAGTGTACATACATGTACATGTAATTGTTATAATAATATTATTACTTCTTTCTCCATGTAAGCTTTCTGATCCTCCAGTGTATTGTAAAGTGTAAAGTATTGTTTAGTCTCAGTTAACATGGAGGACACTGTGAGAAGAGGACAAAAGGAGAGAAGGATAATCAGTAATATGAATGTGGTCAAATGCTACATGGGCCTTGGTTTAAAAAAATTGCTTAAAATGCTCATAAGTCAAAATTATTTGTCTGAATCAGCTCAAACTTTCTACATAGCATAAGGGCATTAACATGTATCAGAAAATGTAATAAAAAATTGGGGTGATTTCGGAGCCATTTTTCAGAAAAAAACCATGGGCTATAGGGTATTTTTCAAAATTTTGGCATTTTCTTAAAATGGCCATAACTTGAAAAATTGAAGTCGGAATCAGCTTAAACTTTCTACACAGCATAAAAACATCAATATGTATTAGAAAATGTAATAAAAATTTGGGGTGATTTCAGAGCAATTTTTTGGAAAAACCATGAGCTATAGCCTTGGGTATTTTTCAAAATTTTGACATTTTCTTAAAATGGCCATAACTTGAAAAATTGAAGTCAGAATCAGCTCAAACTAGCTACACAACATAAGTACATCAATATGTATTAGAAAATGTAATAAAAATTTGGGGTGATTTCGGAGCCATTTTTCAGAAAAAACCATGGGCTATATAGCCTTGGGTATTTTTTAAAATTTTGAAATTTTCTTAAAATGGCCGTAACTTGAAAAAATGAAGTCAGAATTAGCTCAAACTTTCTACACAGCATAAGGACATCAATATGTAATAGGGTAATTTGGGAGCCATTTTTTGAAAAACCATGGGCTATTAAGATAAGGTCCTCTAAGAAGTCTGGTAAGCATAGGAGCTCATTTTCCCGGTATAGCAAGGCTGCAAAAGTCGAGGCAGCCATTTTGTTTGGTGGTGAATCCTACTTAATAACGCTACCATGTTACTAATAGCCTTGGGTATTTTTCAAAAATTACCAAATTAAAAAAAACGGTCATAACTTTTATGCTTAACATATGCTGTACCTTGACTGTATAGTTCAATGAATCTTCTTTGATATTGAGTCAGTTCAGCTCTTGAAGGTATCTCATCGATCTTTCTCTGCAACTGAGCTATCTCCCTATTCTTGCGAGCCTAACAAAAGAATGATAATTATTAAAATAAAACTAAATCTGTACAATAAATTTGCACTGCATGTACTGTACATGAACAAAGATATAAACATACATGTACATGTACATGTAAAGTTATGAAACATTATATGCAATAAAACACATGTATATGGGCATTGTAATACTAATCACACTTACCAGTAAAGTTCTAATTTTCTGTAGTTTCTCTTGGTCAGTTTGAAGAAGAGTCTTTAGTGAAGTTACCCTCTCCTGCAGTAACCAGTATACATGTCATAACCATGTGAACATCAAATACATGTGCATGTACATGTACATGCACATATTGTATAATTTACAGCAAAATTTAGAACCACAAAATTTGAGAGACACTTTTCTAAAAAACCATGCCCATATATAGTTATTTTATACTATGATAAAGTTTGCAAAATTTTTAAGTGGACAAAATTTTTCAGTATCAACACAGTATAGAATATCATGTGATTTGTGTTTGTCATTGATTGATTAACTTACAGAGTCTTCACTCTCATCATCTCCATGCTTCAACTGAGCTATGAGACCACTTAACCTCTCCTTCTCTTCCTAGTTATTGATAGTTATTAATGATTATTAATATTTATTAATAATTATTAGTAGTTATTAATATTTATTAATAATTATTAGTAGTTATTAATATTTATTAATAAATATTAGTAGTTATTAATGTTTATTAATAGTTATCAATAGTTATTAACTTACTTTACAGTGAGCTTTGAATTGTGTTTCTTGTTTCTTCAAGCTCTCATTCATAGACACGAGTGACCTCAACTGATTCAATACTCTAATAACAGTTAATCACTAACAGCAAGAATAAATGTATCTACACACATTACAAGAGACCAAAGTAGACCAAACGCACACTGAATTATTCTCACCCCACCCCAATACCATATAGCGCTTTAATTTTGCTAAAATTTCGCAGATTGATAAAAATCAATTTTTCACGGAAATAAATTGTGCCGATTCACAATGTTAGTGCCACACCTTTAATGGCAATTGAAATTTTAGCGGATTTTTAATTTCGCAGTTTCATGCTAACCGCAAAAATAGCGAAAGTTTAGCTCCTCGAAAATAAAGTGCTATACGGTATACACAAATTCAAATGATAAAAGTTAAAAATATGCAACGTCCATGCCACTCCCCTCCCTTACTCTGCATTCTCTTCATTTTCCATTTCATTAAGTTTCTCCATTTCTCTTGCTATCCTTTCCTTCCTCTTAATAACCTACACACGCGTACATGTACACGTACTCAACATCACGTGTTACCATAACAACAAAGCCACACCCACCTCTGCCAGTTCCTCCTGTGCCTCAGTATACTCGGAATACAACTCATCGTGCTTAGCTTGAACCTGTGGGGGTGTGGTTAAATTAATGTGGGCGTGGTTAATTAGTAATGGTAGGCGTGTCTCACTTCTGAGCATTTCTTCTCAAAGGAGGCAATTTGTTTCTGTAGTCCAGTGACAAGACGGAGGTGAGACTGAGCACCTAAGACCTTCTCTGATGGTTGAGCTGACTCTAAATCAGCACGCTAAGGGAGAGAGGGAGAGAGAGAGAGAGAGAGGTATAGAGAAAGAAGAGGAATTGGTAAAAAGAAAAAAATTAAAGTGAAAAGGGAAACAGAGAGAGAGGGGGGAGGGTAGGAAATTAACTATACATTACTATACATGTTGAGTAGGTGTACATGTACATGGGGAAAAGACAATGGACAAATAAGAGACAGAATAGACACAGAAAGTGTGACGTAAAAGAGAAAGAAGAATTACATACATTTGTACATTTACATTTACAGTAAGTTTTTTTTCACCATTATAACTAAGCTATTAATAAAAATACATATATACAGTATACCATAGATATTATACACGGAACAGGATTGGAAACAGGATCACGTGAGCGCATTATGCATTGAAACCAACCTAGTTTGCCGGGAACTGGTGACCGTAATGGAGATGAATGGAGAAAGTTTGTGGGACTCTAGCAACTACATCGGACGACAAAGCAGGCTAGTAGGAGCCTTTATAGCTACCTCTCAAGGGTCTATAGTGGAATAAGGCATCTATTAGTGCTTATATCTATGTTTCAAAAAGTTATGGCGTGCTAAAACAAAGGGATCTTAAGCCAGGATGCCATTACTCTCAAACTAACAGATGCGCACCATAAAAAACGTCTTAGTCCACTGTAGGATGTTAAGAAGTAGCTATAGAGCTAAAATACCTTGTCATAAAACCGCCGGGTATAGCCTAGAAAGTCCCACAAAGTATTTTTAACAATCTCCATTCATCTCCATTACGGAATTCAAATTTCACTCTTAATAACCACGAATTAACTAGTTCCCGGAAAACTAGGTTGGTTTCAATGCATAATGCGCTCACGTGATCCTTGTTTCCAATCCTGTTCCGTGTATAATATCTATGAGTATACATGTTACATGCATGTGTGTCTCAGTTAAAAATAGACAGATAAATAATAGAACATAATATACAGTATTTTTAACGACCTGGGGGCTATGCCCCCAGGTCGTTCCTATAATTGATTTCACCCACGTGCAATGTTTGCATATATAATATGTATGTCCACACTTACATTTCTTCTATACATGTTGTATTGGAGAAATAACAAGCCTTAGCAACCACCCACCCACACTCCTTTACGTGAGTGGGTGTGGTCACGGCAAACAAAATGGTGGCTTACACTTGGACAAAGTTATGAGCTTTCAAACAGCAAAAGAACATAAAGATACTGCCTAAAGACTTCTTTACAAGCATCACAAGGTAGAAAGAGCCTCTATAAGTCTTAATAAAAATCAAGCTGTACTTGCAAGGTGGTGAAATCAATTATAGGAATATTTTTTACACTGTTACGCTTGTTGTGCATGTACACGTAGTTTACTAAACCCTCTCATCTGAGAGAGACATTTAAAGTAAGTTCATTATGCATTAATGTTCATGTATATACATACTTTAACTTCGTATTCAGAGGCGACTTGCAATATTTCTGATGACTGCATACCAACAATAGAACCAACCATAGCACTGGAGAGGGTCTGGAGAAAGAGAAAAATGGAGAGAGAGAGAGAGAGTGAGAAGGAAAGAAATAATACTTTCTGTATAACATAAGTACATGTACATGTATATGTATCAGGAAAAGATATAAAATTGGAAAATTCTCTCCTTTTCAATTTTGGCAAAATTTGGCCCAAGACCCTGTACATACATACAATGTACATGTACATACATGTATACATGTAGGAGGCTATTTTAGAGTAAAAATGTGCATAATTGGTACATTAGGTGCTACATGTACATGTAAATATTAAATGAAGGTGCCTGCTACAGAAAGTGTCCATTAATAGATGTTCTACTCAAAGTACATGTATATACTTACATCATCAGTTCCAGCTGATGCCATTCCCTTCATGAGTGCCTTTATCCTCTTCTCCTCCTCCTCTCTCTGTCTCTCACTCTTGTCTCCCTCGGCCTCTCCGCCACCAAGAGCACCTGCTACAGCTTTCCTCTTATCATCGTCAGACTAGGAATTAAAATAAGAGTGTGTAAAAATAAATAATAAATATTAATTCTTAAAATTGTTTTTTCTTTTACTTTTTGTGTTGGAACTGATCTTCCAAAGCCATAACGTCTACAATAGATAATAATTGTATTACTTATTTCATGTACATCTATCAATTTATATAACAAGTGATAACTTTTAATTAATACATTTACATGTACCATATTTGCTCGATTAAATGCCTGGGCATTTATCTGGAACAATCTAAATGATAGGGCACTTACAATTAATGTATACTGATTATTAGTGATTAAAATATGCATATTTATAGTTTAAAATAATATTTGTCATGGGCATTTATTTGAGCAAATATGGTACTACATCTACATGTATGGTACATGTATTTGTACAAGTAAAAATATGGTACATGTACATGTACAGGTATACCTTCCATATTCCAGTAGTGTAGAGTGCACTTGAGTCTCTTCATCAGATTCCTTGACTGAGGCTGGTCTCCTGTACTGTCTCTGTGGCTTGTATATAGACTAAGGGTTGGTGGGTGTGGTTATACTTATTGGTAATTAAGTGAGGGGGCGGTACCTTGACGTCTCCAATTGAACCAGTGGCTGTTGGTTTCATGTCATTAAATTGTCTATCCTAAATATAAAAATGACATTTCTCAGTTTTGTAACTACACAATACCGTATAGTGGGAAATTTTGAAGGGAATTAAATTTGGCGAATTGGTGTTTTGATAGCAATTCACCAAAATAAAAATCCACCAATCACCCAAAATTTAGCAATTCGCCAAATGTACATGCACATGTACATAATGTGCATAATCTACATGTACAATTGTATGATTTACTGCTTATTTGCCTAATTTCTCTCTCTCCCCCTCTCTCTTACTTTAGGTGTTGTGTGGTATTTGTTAAACTGTGATTCAGAATAAGATCTGATATAGTCTCCCATTTCTTCCTTAGTCTCTATAGCACGTTTCACCAGCCACTAAAATTATTAAAAAGAACTTAAAATGTACAAATAAGTACATGTACACATACACATACATGCATGTACAGTACATAACATAACTAAGTTTATTAAAGTACATGTACATGTACATGTACATGTACATGTACATGTAGACTGATGTAGTACAGGTTCATTATTTTTATTATTTTTAGCCACTAAAATGTACAATTGAACGTACGTACATGTACATGTAAAATGCTACATATAAAAATACTATAGTACATGTGTGTGTGTGCGTGTGTGCGTGTGTTACCTGTATAACAGGGTAAATGTGTATAAAGTCCAGTCCTTGGATCTGATGAGGCTCCAGTCTATGAGGACACTTCATCCTTGGCAACACAGCAACAATCTTCTCAGTAAGAGCACTGACAATAATAATAATAATAATAATAATAATAATAATAATAATAATAATAATAATAATAATAATGAAGAACATACATGTACATGTACATGTAAATGAATAATTCATAACAGCTGTCTTTGTGACAAATACTCATTGAGGTATAGACACAGCTGTTTCTAAGAACATGTACTACATACATGTAGTTTATGCTTACTCACTAAGTTCTGAAACAAATTTTAGTATCAAAATCAAATCAAAACAACATACACATGTACAGCTGTACATGCATACCGGGGGTATTACTGGTACAAATATAATAGCACTTTTGCCGACTAAAAAATCAGATGCTAAATATTTGAATATTTGTAATGAGCATATTTAAGTATTATAAATAATGGGTGCGTGACTTACATCTTCTGTCCTATGGTAGAGTTTTCTTGAAACAACAGATCAACGTCGACATCGAAATTACACGTTTGAATGCACCAAGTCATACCACCCACAATCTACGTATAAATGTAAAGTAATTATTAGTTAGTCTCGCGTAGCCAGACTCCTCCCCTTTTTGACTAAGGGGAGGAGTCTGGCTACGCGAGACTAATTATTAGTAGGTGTGGCATGCAATTATTTCTCTTTCCGAGATAGAAAGGATAGCATGTGATAATGGGCTGACCTTGTCAAAAGGTGAGAGTCCCTTGATCCTAGCCCTAAAGTACCCAGCGGCTAAGAGAAGGTCAATACTCTCACTCAGTTTGACATTTTGTTCTTCATCCTCCCTCACATCAAACTAGAGGGAGAAAAAGAGAGGAAGAGAGAGAAAGTGGGAGGGCCATACATGTACATGTATCGTGAAGATTGCATTTAAAAACTAAGTATTTTGTTCTTTTTTCCTCTTACGTCAATTTCTTGTCCTTCAGCATCAACGTCACGCTGCTTGAAACGAGCCTCGGCTGCTCTCCTTGTCGCTTGAGCGAACATACCACCACCAGAACCAGCGGCCATGTTTAGCAAGCAAAGAAGCAAACCAGCCACTCCTATCTCATTAATATTCATTTACTCATTGAGCCCACCCACGCATAATCACAATGCATAATTATGGTAGCTATTGGCTGAAGTATGTAAATGATGTCATTTGCTTCATATAATCCTATTATTGTCCTGATTAGTTGTCCTGATTATCCCATCGCCGGCTTGCTTCTCCTTTGGCTCCTCAGTTAAGTGCCTTCAGTACTATCAAGTCTAAAATCTCTACTCAAATGGCTTCGAGACTGAGAACAAGGACTCAAGACTTACTGGGTGAGTGTACTACTCTCAGGCAATCATATTACAGTCAGTACTTATTTGTCATAGGCCATGACAAGCTTGGTGAAGTAGATGAATTGCTGAGGAAGTTTAACTATGACGACACCACCTTCTTTGAGTTGGGTCTCCAGTTGGGGTTACAATATGCTACATTGAATAAAATTAAAGCTGAGCATAGTATTAGTAATTGTTTAATTGAGTGCTTAAATGCATGGATCGAACAGGTTGATGATGTGAAGAAATATGGTGGCCCTAGCTATTACACATTGATAGTTGCTCTTCGAATAATCAAACAAAATAGAGTTGCTGATGCAATTGATGAAGAAAGTATGTATGCATGCATGGTTCAGTAATCTAAACAAACTTTTGCATTTTTGAAATTTTTAGAACACCCTGCTTGTGCTATACTTGCATGTTACAAAGATGAAAAATTCATTTTGAATCCATTGCCTCAGCTTGCAGTGCTCCTTTACAAAGAAGATCTCATAAGAGCAAGAATACTTCCAAACGCTGATGGAGCACTTAGTCTGCTAAGGGAAGTGCAGCAGTCCATTTGTGCTAATCATCGGAATCTTATGAAATTTGCTGATGTTCTCAAGTTGATGCCTGCAACTCAGAAAATTGCACGAGAAATTAAAGAAAGTTATTGTGAGTTAACAAACTTTGTTTTTGCTGTGCATACAACCCGGGGCAATGAATTATATAAACAAACACTTCCTTTTAAGGAAAGCAAACTGCACCTTTTGTATAAACTGAAAGTACTTGCTTGCTTGTCATAATTATGTCATTATAACCACTTCTTTGTATATACTGTATGCAGTAGAAAAAGTTCATAGTAATGAGATAGTAGATGAAGCAGAAGTAACAGAAATAACAGGTACAGATACAGAAGGAACTATCACATTACTTGTTTTTAAGCAGATTCAGATATTTCAATTCAAGGCCAGGAGCTAGATGCTTTTAATGCTATAAGAACAAAATTTGCTTCTACTGTGTACGATGCAACAGAAGCTATGGTGAGCATTTCAGAAAGAGATTTGAGAACCTATTTATGCCGAGGGTATCCTCATTTGGCAAGCAAGCTAGAAAAATGTACAACTATTGATGATCTGCTAAATATGCTTGCTAATGAATGCTCGTTAACTGATGTCAGTCTGTTAGAAGCTGTGGCAGATAGATTTAAAATTTCACCTGCTACAGAACTCATTCAAGAATATAAGGAGGCAGTTGATGATTTTTGTGAGAAAACACCTCTCACTGAATGTCTAAATAAAAAAATATCTTCTGGTTCTATGCTTGAATCTGAAAAGATTGTCATCCATGTTAGAGGTCTTGCAAGTGAGCACAGATTCAAGGATGTCAAAGAATTAACTGAGCATGCATTTGGAAAATTAAACTCACAAGTCAAAATCACAGTTATTGTAGTTAAAAAGTCCTTCACTGTCACTTGTTCTTTTCCTCTGATATTAAGTGAGTCACTAATTGCTAGTGTTCTTCAAAACCTCGAGACTCTCAAAGCAAAAGGATTAGAACAGTTGACTATTGGATATGGCATTGTTTATGATGTGGTAATTTATAAATTAACATTATAACATAATAGTAAATTTAAAATAGGATGAGAAAGAGTGTGACGAAGCAGCAGTATATGCTAGAAAAGGTATTGTGGAGCAGTTGTTGCTATCAAGAACTGTTCAATTGATAAATTGCTGTCAAGAAAAGGTTAAGTTCTATAGCCTATTGTTCATTTTGTTGATAATACTCAATTGCATATATATAGAAAGCAATTATAGCAGAAGCTGAAAAGGTTAGAATGTTGACTGTACGTATATTGATAAAAATAATTAGAAAAAAGTTGAATACCAAGAAGAAAAAGAAATGCTAAGCAAAAATCTGATTTCATGTCAACAAAGTAATTTTTTTTTCATAATACACATGTATAATAATTATATGTAATTTACAAAGGTGACAGTGAAGTAAGCATCAGTGCAGATATTGCCACTATAGTCTATGCAGCCATGACAAGACATAAGCATATCATAAGTGAGACTCTTTATAGACTCACAATGACTCCATTGCATGCATTTTCTTAGATATTGAGTTTGTTTCTGACATAACCCATATGTTTAGAAAATACCAATTTTATGGACATCAATATCCTAAATTTGGTATTTACCTAAACATACCAAAGGAGCGACTTGACTTCATTGAAAGAAATTTTAAAGGTGACTTAGCTCGCTGTCTGATTGAGTGCCTGATGGCTTGGCTACGCAGTCCTGATGACCCTAGCACAAAGTCCTGGGAAACTCTAATTCTTGCCATAAGGCATGTAGATGAGAAAGAAGTAGCTGATAATATTTATAATGAAAGTATGCAAGTGATTTGATAGCACAAAATATTATCGTATCTTTCAGAATGCAAGCCTTGTGAAGTACTACCTGAGTATTATGTCAAGCTATTTGGAAGCATTGAAGAGCCATTTGAATTAGCTGATATTCTCTGCTCCAAAGGAGTTCTGGATGAAACATCTCTCACCAAAATTAAGAAAGCAACAAAAGAAGAAAAAACTGCTTTACTAAAAGCAAGAGAACTCTTGCTACAAGTAATACAGAAATCCATCTGTCGAAGGAAAGAAAACTTGAAAATTTTTGCTGAAGCATTGCAAAAATTTAGCTCTACTGCTCAGCTAGGAGATGAAATTCTTGAAAAATGTTCCTTTATAAACTTTGTACATTCCAGCATTTAATTTTATACATTAATTTTTATTCCCACAGAACATAATTATTATTATTTGTACACATAATTATGCATTGTCCACACATTAATCCTTATTGTGAACCTGCACATCAAAAGTATAGAATGTGCTTAATAACAATAATAATTACTATAAATTCTTAGTTCTTAATATTATCAATTAGTTTGAACAAAGAAACCACGACCAGAACCAGCAGCCATGCTTTAGCTTAGATTTTATTAACAACGGTATCTATCATAACTATAAAACTAACCCACACATTATTGCAACGCCAAGGTCTTCAAATTTACTCCAAGAATAAAATTAATTTTCAGAATAGCATACATGCATGACCTGCAGTGTTTCTGTGCATTAAATGACATTGTTTGGATAGAGAGTCCTAGTCTGGCCATTATGTAACGGAGTGGAAGAGAAAAGAGGAGAAGGTCCTGAGCTGAAACCATCAGTCCCCATCACTTGATCATCATCACGACACATTGTACCCTCTTCCATACCCTCTCCCTCTTCTTCCTCTCTCCTCTCCTCCATCATCTCATTATTATGTACTGATATATCCTCCAGTGATTGCATCCAATATTTAAAGCTATCTTCACTGTAGGCTATAAGATCAAGGAGCTCTTCCTCGGTTATAACACAAAATGAATAACGATGAAGATCATTTGGTGAGTAGTCCTCCCTGTCCTTTATCCTCTGACTAGCTCCTCCTATTACTGACAGTACGGTCCCTTTCTTTCTGTTGTGTCTCTTGATTGATCGAGACCAGTACAACTTTGAGCCTTTGATCCAGAAATAATAATGAAGAGGAGGACCTGAGAGAAGAAAATACATGCACATCTAAGGGAATACATATGTAGAAAGAGAGAGAGAAAAGAGCTAAGGAAGATGTACTGTACATGTACAGCATACATGTATGTACAAGTAGACATAGAGGAGGATAAAAAACTGAGAATACATGTACAAATGTACATGTAAATGCACATTTTTTATAATGCCCATAGCCATTTGTATTTTATTTACATGTATAAAAAGGATGATCCCATGCTATTTCATGATGAATAACTTTTTCGTTTCGAAAAATATTCATAATATTCATTCACAAGGGCCAAGAATGACAAGAATGTTTCCCCCACAATAATACATGTATACAGTACATGGAAAAAGAACTCACATTTATTATCTCCGGGTATAAAGTATCCAAGATAATGATTAATGATACCAGTGACATTTGACCTGTTAGCATATTCTGATGGAGCAATGAATGACACACTCTCAGACACTAAACTACACCCATCAGTACCACCACTGTATAAACTGCCAGTATCAGCCTCACTCCTATCAACATATACAAAAGAGAAAGTGACATGTAAATGTACATGTACATGCACATATACATCGTATGTGTATATTGTTTTCAATTTAAATTGAAATGTGTACAAATGTAAAATTGTGTACATGCACACGTAGTAGGCTATCATTGCAGCATGTAAAACTACATGTATATATACATGCATACATGTACATGTACATGTTCATGTACATGTACAATTACCTCTGCATTTTAATGAAGTCCCCAACTGATGCATCATGACAAGTGAAGAGAGCCACAACAAACTCGTGTTGCTTGATCAATGCATAATCCAATGGAGTCTTATTGTCACTGTCTCTTTGACTAGCATCAGCTCCTTTATTGAGCAAATGGTAACAAACATGAACACGATCCATTGCTGCAGCATAATGTAATGGAGTCCTACCCTGAGGGGAGAGCAAGAGAGAGAAAGAAGTACATGTACATGAATGGGGTAATGAATGGAAGAGAGAGAGAGAGAGGACAAAAAAAGAAAATACATGTAAAAGCAAGGCAGCCATTTTGAAGTGGGGTAAATCCTACTTAGTAACGCTA